ATCTCCCAATTGATGGTGAGCCCAGCCCTGCTCCTGATGACTAAACCATGTGTTGTCCTGATTTCAACTTGACCCTGCGGCCCGGGTTCCCAGGCTGGTGTCTGCGGCCACAGATGACTAACTTTGGAAGCTCTGCCCTTCACTGGCTGTCGGGTCCGCAGCCCTCACAGGCAGATCAAATATTGTTTAGGCTACTTCTCCGTGCCACGGGAAGAGGGCCAATGGTTATTCCAACTCCAGGCCCGGGGCCCCTCCTCCACTCACACCATCTGGGAACCCGGCGAAAGGAACGATCTCGGGTCGCTGGGTGCCCAGTGGAGTGTGGGGAACACGCTGGAGGGACAGTGGAGACGCCAGCTCGCCTTTCAAGGACTAGTCTGCCCTTGGCCGGAAGTTCTGAGACTAAGCATTGAAGTTTCAATGTCAAATTCCCTTTCCATCCTGTCTCTTTAACTAGAAGGTTGTTTTGGGGCTGGTCGGGTTAGGATGAAGAAACCAGAAGTTCTCTTGTCCTGGCTTAACATGCATTTTGCTTCAGGAGGGAGCTCATTCACTGAACAGCACAAATGGAAGTTCACAAAGCAACCAGGAGGAGCGCAGACCAAGCCCCCGCTGTGGGCCAGGTCTGTGCTGAGTGCTTCTGTACGTGTTCCCACCCTGGGGCCCGGAGTTATGTGGCTATAAAGTCTTCCCTCTTTCCACTTCCAGCTCTGCCTCCCACGCTCCTGGCCTCGGTTTACGCACCCGAAAAAGGGACCAGACGGGAGCTAGACCAGACCCTCTCACAGAGCCCTCTAAACAGTGAGCTATTGTGAAACTTCTGAGGCCAAACTCTCTCTATAAGTCTTTGCTAAAATAGAAAACCCAGGTGTTTAAATGCAATACTTGCTCACTTAAACAATCAACCCACTGTATGCAGCTAGGGCTAATGTCACCCTCTAATGTACTGTCCATGACTAACCAGACAGCTAGGGTCTCTGGGGACCAATGCCAGTAGCTTCTATTTTGGTCAGACCAGCAGCTCAGCAGCCTGGGGCTGTCCTGGGTGTGGCCTGGTGGGTGAGGCCTGGTGGATGTGACCTGGCAGGTGTGACCTGGCGGGTGTGGCCTGGCAGGTGGGTAGGCGCTCGGGGCAGGCACCATGTCTCTAGCCTCCACTCTGGTTGGCATGGTGATGCAGAGCCAGCCTTCACTTGATCCCCCTTCCCTTTCACTCTATTATCTCTCTGTGAGATCTTGCCCCAGAAGGACAGAGAGATCCTGAGGCCAGGCTGATGTCAGGGGAGAACAAGCAAGTCTTTGTGGGCCTTCAAGAGGCTGAGGCCAGGCCAGGCTCCCAGGCAGCACACAGAGGGGCCTGTGCTCACTCACTCACCAGAGCAGCCCTGTCCTGACTTGGGGGCCTCCATGTCCATGTCCTGAGCCCTCTGCCTCCCCCGACACCAGCGCTGGGCCAAGTGGAGGGATCTGCGCGTGGTGCCCGCAGGCATTTCACACCAACAAGTCTTAACGCACAGCTAACCTTCTGCACCAAAACCGAACCACCACCATCAAGCAGTTCCTCTCTTTCGGGATGATGATGGATTTCTCCTCCTTTTCTCGCCACTTTTTTCTTGGTCCCCTTTATCCTTTTCTGCTCATTCACACCTCCAAGGGGTCAGAGATCAACTCCAATGAGTTAATTTAACTATTTTTAGTCCCTGTTGGGAACAAGGCGGGAACATGAGGGGGTGGCTACTAATGGATTTTTCAAAGGCAGAGTGGAGGCATTATGTGTGCACCACGATCACTCTGGCTCTTTCCTCCCCACCAGCATCACAGAGAATTGAGTGTTGGCCCTTGTTTGTACTGTGAGCATCTCTCTTCCAGATCCCAACTCCTAATCATCCTTCAATGCCCAGCTCATCAGCCTCTCTTGGAAGCCGTCCCTGACTTCCCTGGGCAGAGCGCATGCTCCTTCGCTGCATCCACATCACTTTGTTCAGGCCCAAACCCTTGCTCACCGCCTGCTCCTGTGACTCTGGCTCCTTCCTCCCCCGACGAGCTAATGCACTCCTCGAGGGGCTGCCCACGTTTGTGTCTTGATGTTCCAAGGCCTCACACAGTGTCTGGCCTGAGGCAGGCACTCGGGGATTCTCTACCTAATGAGTCCACTCATTTTTGAAGAGAACACTCTTACTTCAGTATTCAGCAGAGAGAGGGGTAAGAGACGGCTATTACCCATCCATTTCCTGACCAGGAGAAAACACGTCGAGACCTACATTCCATGGTTTCTACTAGAACAGCATGGCCTGTTGTCAGCCACTCTCTCCCATCAGAAACGGGGCTCGTGTTCCAACCATCTCCCAGCAACTTAGTACCAAGACTGCCCGTGAAGCACTGTCCGCAGTGAACATTCATGGGGGCACTCAGTGCTGGACGTGCCCTAGATCCATGTCCCCCCCACGGACATCCCATTCCGCCCGTCTGTGTTCACCTACTTGACAGCCGAGGAAACCGTGGTCTTATAACATCAGGAGGAATGGGTGTGACCTAAGCCCTTGAAGGAATTGGGGGTCAAAGAAAATTAGGCCCTTTGCTTCATAAAACTCCACCCTTAGCCGCCCATCAATCTTTGCTTAAAGAACGGTTCACAGCGTCGCGCTGTCCTCAGGACATACTCATCCTCTTGGCCTGACACTCAAGGTTCCAGCTTCTCACTCTGCACGAGTCCCCCAGTCTCTCAGAGTCACCGCACATTCTACAGCTCAATGAATGGCGCTGCGCACAGGGCCTCCCAGGGGCAGCCTTGCGTATGCCTCCCCTCTGCCCACATGCCCCACCCTAAAGGTCCCACCCTCCCTGCTGTTCAGCTGCCTGATGAGCCCTCAAGTCTAGGACTGAGTGGAGGTTGCGTGTCTCTGGGCAGCTTCCCGGGTTCTACACCTCAGTGGGTCAGAGACCCCTCCTCTGGGCTCCCGCACACCCACTCGTACACGATGCTGGCAAGTGTGTGTTGTCTAGTCACTCGTAGGTCTCCCAATAAAACCGCAAACAACTCGAGGGCAGGGGCTGAATCGAATCACCACCGACCCCTGTGTCTAGCACTGGCGCTGGCACGCAAGAGGCACTCAAATGTTTGCTGAATGAACTGATCCGCCCTCTCCCCTGAAGCCAAGACTTGGCAGTGGTCTAGGTGAACGAATTCCAAGAGAATTGGTAGCAGTGACCAGGGGGAGGTTCCAATGGAAAATTCCCACTCTAGCAAATCTGTTTCACAACGACCAGATCAGGACAGCTGCTCACTTCAACCCCATTTACCAATGCCACTTCCCCAAGCAGCTTTGTCCGAACGCCAGGCCACGGGCCCCTTGCATGGCACCAAGTCTCATTCATCTCCAGAGTCTCAGTAACTGAAACTGCGAGAAAAGAACTTCCACCCTTATTTCTACTGAGGACGCTTTAGGGATGGGGCCTTGGAGAGGCCCCCTCTCACTTAGCTCAGGTCCCCCTCAGACAACGCCGACCAGGGAGGCTTCCCTGGTGCCTTAGAGAAGAGGAGTGCCCGTTCTCCCAACTTCCCAGCTCTCTGGCGTGAACAGACTTATTTTTTTACGTAGCACTTAATACTGCCTGATATAACGTATGCGTGCCTGTTTTCCTGTTGGCGATCCCTTGATCTGACTGGAATGCAAGCTCCATGAGACAGCAACTTGGCTTTGTTCCGTGCTGTGCCCCGAACACCAAGGATGCCTGCCGAGTAGCCTGTGCTCCATAAACGTGTGTGGGATGCATGGATGGCTGCATGAATGAATGCCCCACAGAGCTAACAGACATGGGAGAAAGCCCATGTCATGGCCCTGGAGGAACACATTCTTGAAGGGAACTCCTGCTGAGTGCCAGGCCAGGAGGCCCGCCCCCAGATTAACTGATGCCAGCTGTCAGGCTCTTCCCCTGGGTCTTGAGACCCTGCTGGTCTAACAGGAAAGGGGCTGCAGGGAGGGAGTTGGCTTTCACCTAACACCTTGAGTGACAAAGGATGGGTCAAGAGGCTGGGAGAGGAGTGGGCCCTGACGCTGGGTATAACAGAGCACGCCATCCCCATGGCTGGGCTGCAAGGGCACTCGGGCCAGAGCCGAGGTGAGGGAGGGCTGCTATTGAGGACAAGCTCTGAAATCAAAAGCCTGGTAACAGCCTCTCTCTTCTGTAACTGCTTGGGACTTCCAGTGAGTGCGCACAAGGCCCGCCCCTGGATGCACTAGTTGCTGGTGTCACTGTGCTGTCCTCTCTCCTAAAGTTCTCCTTCTTCTTCTAGATACCTTGAGGCTCTTTGAAAACGAAAACCAAGGCCCAAGGCCCACATGGAACCCAATGGAGGAGAAAAGCGATATTTTAACAGTTCAAAGTAAGGCTGGACGGGGAGAGAAGCTAACCTTTTTTGAGGTCTAATATAAGAAAGAAACAAAGCTAGCACATTATGTCCTCTGATTGTCACTGTAAGTCTACAGATGAGACTGCACTGTCCCATCCCACAGATGGGGAAACAGAAAGTTGGGGATTTAAAACGATGCGGGCAAAACCAGTCAGCTCATAAATAGCAGAACTGAAATTCCAAGTCAGGTCCGCCTCATTCCGAAACTCGCCTCCTTCTTCTGAGTGAGGCGTGCTCTCAGGGAGCCCCACGGGGAAGAGGAACCACAGGAAGATGAAAGGGAGCACCCGGTACACCTCGTTCCCCAGCGAGTGAGACTCCCAGCGGAGCACTGTGGGATAAAGGACGCTGGGACCACAGGATTGGAAAATACCTTGGAAATCACCGGGTCTCACCTTCTATACTGTGCTCAGCTTTATGAAATGCTCTGGCTTCAGTTTTCAAGGAGACTCAAGCTATCTAGATGAAAAAGATGACCCTCCGTAACACTTTCCTATATGTACTCTCTAGACGTGCAGGTCACACATCCCCACCCAGAAAGTGCCCGGCGCCACTGCCAGCCTGCTGCCGCCCGTCAGCTGTTTCTTACCTGGAGAGGCTCTTGGGAGTCAGGTTCACCAATCCAGGCTGATGGGACGGACCAGCGGAGCAGCCCTCGGCCAAGACAAGTCCGGTCCCTGGTCAGGGCTGCGGCCCCCTTGAGTCCGGTGGTTTCTCTGTCCTTAAGTGAGTGATAATCTGCTAAAAGGAATGCAAGTCATGTTACTGAGAGGCCATTTCCTGTTCTCCTCCAATAACAATACTTTTTTTTTTTTTTAAGGAGAGCAGAGAGTCCCCGAATCCCAGATTCCCAGGCTGAGAGAAATCCGCGGTCACCCTGCTTCATGCTTTCGTTCGGTGGTTGAGAAGATTGAGGCTCAGAGAAGCCTCGCTCGAGGTTCAGCGACTTGGACAAGGAACCCAGAGGAGAACGTGTCTTGGACTCTCTGGCCTTTGGAATTTTTTAAAAAGCAGCCACATGGTCTGGCTGACTCCTCAAACAACTGGTCATTGACCCTGAATGCAAAGCCCTTTTTTTAAAAACAGATTTTCAAAAAGGGAGGTGGCACATTTTCCAGATTGCTGTTGGTGTTGTTTTTGCAGCTTTACCCTGGGAGCCAAATTAGTAAAACAGTCCACGTCAGGCATGTGGTCGCGTGGCTCTCCCTGTTTCCCTTAGAAAAATATTGTGATGGAACAGCGTGCCCCAGGGGCCCAGTGGTGGCCAGGCTTTGTTATCCAGGGATGGGCATGTGAGCACCCAGCCCGGAGGTCTCTCAGTGGGTCTCTCTCTGTCTCTCCCCTCTCTTTTGCTCTGTCTCTCCCCTCTCTCTTGCTCTGTCTGTCCCCCCCACCCCCGTTTCTATCTCTCTATCTCTTTGTCATTATCTGCTTCTCTCTCCCTCTTTCTCTCTCTCTTGCTCTCGCTCTCGTTCCGCTCTCGCTCTCACTCTCCCTGTTTCAGGAAGACAGCAACAGCCACAGACTCTCCCCCATGGGCATCACTGATTAGGTAATTTTTCTGGCTACTGTACTTCTGAAGAGCCATTTCCCTGTGCAGAAAACGAAAACCAAAAAAGGGAGCTTGCATTTGTTAAGCAAATAGCATCGGCCAGGCGCACCATGTGAATCTCACAGATGTATTTCCCTAATCTGTCCTCATGAATACCGTCGACTTCATTTTCCCAAAGGGTCAGGGAACCTAACTTCAGAGAGCTAGAAAGACCCGGAGAATCACAAGGAGAACATGGTGCAGAATCACTAATAAACTCCTGTCTCCCTCCCACACCTAGGCTGTGCCCATCGACACTTGACTGTATTTACTCAGCCAAAACACTGGGAGTTCTGTAGTGTTTTAGTTCAAAAGCAGGAGGATATAATTTGGAAGCTGTAAATTGCTGCAAGAACATGAAGAATTAGTCTTAGGAGATTCTCTTTCAGACCGTGCTCTGGGGCCCCGGCTTCCTGCCTGCTCCCCGCCGGGGTTCACGTGCCCGGAGAGGCTGGGCCCTCTGGCTCCAGCTCTGAGCAGCAGACAGAGGGCCCGTAGGTCAGGAAATCACGATTATCAACGCGCCACGCTTGTTCCTGTTCTCAGGCAACCAGGGACAGGGCTGAGAGATGGGGTGGGGGTGGAGAAAGAGGAAGAAAAAACAGGAAGTGTGGGGGGAGGAAATGATAGAGAAAACACAGCAACTCTGCAAAGTCCTTGGCCTGATGAGAAAGTGATTCTGAGCCGGCGTCCCTGGGGCTGTCTCTGCATTTGGGGAAAGCGGGTCATGGTGGCAGCGGGGAGACTGGGGTTGGTGCCCATGTCTCCAGCCCAGGGCCCGGCCCAAGAAGACAGCCCCCTGGCACAGGCACTGTCTCCCACGAGCACTTGGTGCCGACAAAGGACAGAGCCAATTCCCAAAGAGGAATCCCGGGAAGGCCGCGGCCCACACCTCTGGGCCGTGGCCGAGAGCCCAGGAGCGCCCACAAGGACCGGGAAACGAGAGAGGAGAGGCTGAGGTGAGGGGGCCTCAGGGATGTCACCCCACCCCCTGCTCTCCTTCTCGATTGCTCTCTAACGTGTAACCTGCTTTCAGTGTATATGATTGGGCCTGGGTTCACCTGACACCAGTCAGAGCCCCGCTTTCTTCTACCACAAAGCTAAGCAGGCCAGGAGAAGGCGAATCTCCTCCTGTCCATGTTGCCACTTCACTTGCTTATAGACTCTTATAGAAGTCCCCCACTCCCAGTGGGCATCGTAAGGATGGCAATCCCCTGGTAAGCAGAACAGCCACGCAAATAGGCAAGCCCGATGATCGCTAATCACGCAAATAGGCAAATCTGATGATCACTAATCACGCAAATAAGCAAGCCCAATGATCGCTAATCATGCTGCAACACTGATATTGATGAGTGGAGACTTAGAGCCTGCCGATGGCACCGGGAGGACGGGGGCCACCGCCCCAGAGGCCACCATGCAGCACTCCCTCTGCAAGCAGTGACAGCAACAAGGAAAGGGTGAGGCACGCGGGAGGGCCGACAGTGGGAAGAAATCAGGAATAAAAGGCAGAGGAAGGAAGCAAGGCTCCAGGTGGGAATGTGGAGAGGTGCTGGGCCCACAGGACAAGGAGTTTGTCCCCAGCCTCCCTTGGGTGGCAGCACCCCCAATTCCTTCCCACCTGCCCCCACTCTTCAACACCCCTGTCCTCCTCCCCCCACCCCCCGGGAGTCAGCCAGCACCAGTCAGTGACATCTGGCCCTGGTGTGTACACAGCATGGCTTGGTGGTGGGAGGAGGCGAGGCTGGGGAGGGGACAGGGAGGTCGAGATGACAGTCCTCAGGGTGAGTAGAAGGGCTGGTGCCTTGGGAATCCATCCCCATGTCAGAGGGGAACAGACCTATGGGACAGGCGGGTGACCATGATGTCGAAAGTCCTCAAACACTGCACACACTCCCAGGTCGCACACACTCCCAGGTCGCACACACTCCCAGGTTGCACACACAGGTCGCACACACTCACAGGTTATACACACTTTCACAGGTCACACACACTCACAGGTCGCACACGCTCCCAGGTCGCACACACTCACAGATTGTACACACTCACAGGTCGCACACTCTCACAGGTCGCACACGCTCCCAGGTCGCACACGCTCCCAGGTTGCACATGCTCACAGATTGTACACACTCCCAGGTCATACACACGCCCAGGTCGCACACACTCACAGGTTGCACACACTTTCACAGGTCACACACTCACAGGTCGCACACGCTCCCAGGTCACACACACTCACAGGTCGCACACACTCCCAGGTCGCACACACTCACAGATTGTACACACTCACAGGTTGCACACACTCCCAGGTTGCACACACTCACAGATTGTACACACTCACAGGTCGCACACACTCCCAGGTTGCACACACTCCCAGGTCTCACACTCTCACAGGTCACACACACTCACAGATTGTACACACTCACAGGTCGCACTCCCAGGTTGCACACACTCCCAGGTCTCACACTCTCACAGGTCACACACACTCACAGATTGTACACACTCACAGGTCGCACTCCCAGGTTGCACACACTCCCAGGTCTCACACTCTCACAGGTCACACACACTCACAGATTGTACACACTCACAGGTCGCACTCCCAGGTTGCACACACTCCCAGGTCTCACACTCTCACAGGTCACACACACTCACAGATTGTACACACTCACAGGTCGCACTCCCAGGTTGCACACACTCCCAGGTCTCACACTCTCACAGGTCACACACACTCACAGATTGTACACACTCACAGGTCGCACTACCAGGTCGCACACACTTCCAGGTCGCACACACTCCCAGGTCGCACACACTCACAGATTGTACACACAGGTCGCACTCCCAGGTTGCACACACTCCCAGGTCGCACACTCTCACAGGTCACACACACTCACAGATTGTACACACTCCCAAATCGAACACACTTGCAGGGACACCAGGCTCTGGTTTCAGCCTCATGAAGAACTGGGAACAGGACAGCACAGAAATCACCTCTCACCACTTCAGAGGCGGGGAGATTAAAGCCCAAATAATAAGTCATGGAATAATGATGATGATGATGATGATGATGTTGCCATCTGTGGCAGCTTATTATGTGTCAGGAAACAGGCCAGGCGCTTCCCGCAGGTCCTTAGTAATTACTCCCACTCTGTGACGGCCATATCATTACTCCTCATTTGTAGCTGAGCTACACTAAGTAATTTCCTCGGCCTGAAAGCCAGCTGGTATGAGACAGGAGCTGCTGCACGGTCTGTGGTCTGTGTGACATTTTGTCCCATGATGTCACCGCCTGTGCTGTGACATGGCGACATGCCTTACCCGTGACCGTGCACCGGTGCCGACCACAGCCGGCTTCTGCGCCGTCCGCATCACCGGTGCAGGTTTCTGCCTGAGTGCGTCATCCCCGTGGCATCTGCACGTGGGGAGGTATTCGGTCGCATACCATGAGGGCGACCACGGGATTCACCATCTAAACTGAGTGCGTCATCCCCGTGGCATCTGCACGTGGGGAGGTATTCGGTCGCATACCATGAGGGCGACCACGGGATTCACCATCTAAACTGAGTGCGTCATCCCCGTGGCATCTGCGCGTGGCGGGTATTCGGTCGCATACCATGAGGGCGACCACGGGATTCACCATCTAAACTGAGTGCTTGTGGGAGTGGGAAGCAAACCGTGAAGGCCACTGGGACAACAGGCATGAGCCGGGATGGTCGCAGGCATGCAGGACATGTGGGCACCCTGAGGTCACCCACAGCCCCGAGGGCCAATTACGTTTGTCGGGAGAGAACTGTCCCAGCAATCCCGGGCTTTCCAATCCACACACACATTCCTCTGCAACCGTTCCTGCCCCTTAGCTCACCAAAGGTCTTCTCCATCTGCTGGGCCTGTAGGCTTTGCATATAAAACAGGCCGATGCCACAGGTTATGAAGCATCGTGCTATGATGGGAGAAGCAAGGGTGTGACCAGCTTCACTTATTTTTTTAATATAATTTTTATTAATTTCAGAGAGGAAGGGAGAGGGAGAGAGAGATAGAAACATCAATAACAAGAGAATCATCCATCGGCTGCCTCCTGCACGTTCCACAATAGGGATCGAGCCTGCAACCTGGGCATGTGCCCTGACCGGGAATCAAACTGGGACCTCCTAGTTCATAGGTCAATGCTCAACCACTGAGTCACACCAGCTGGGCAATAATATATTTCAAAAGGACTGTGGGCTTCCAGAACCTGAATGCACAGCTGTTCTGATAACCAGCCACTCCCCCAACATGCAGGCTCCGTGGCTCTCCTCCCTAAGGCAGCTGGAGACTGCAGGCCACCGACAGGACACAGACCCTGTTGCCTCAAGGGGCAGCGTGTTGCTGGGACAGGCCTGGCCTTTCTCTACCGCCAGTAGGCACTGACCCTGCCGAAGGGTGCGGAGGGGGGCCCTCTGGATGGGCATCTCCCCTTCCACCCCCCTGGCCCAGGGAGGACGGAGGCAGCACTTAGAGCCGGCTTTCATCTTGCTGTCCCGCAGAACCTGCCCTTCTTAGGAATCTCTGCCCCAGGAGAGCAAGAATCTGCCTTCTTAGGAATCTCTGCCCCAGGAGAGAAAGAATCTGCCTTCTTAGGAATCTGCCCCAGGAGAAGAATCTGCCTTCTTAGGAATCTGCCCCAGGAGAGAAAGAATCTGCCTTCTTTTGAAACCAGGGACCCATCTTGACTCACACTCTCCCATCAGTTCAGGTAAAGTAAATGCTAACAAAAAAAAGCTTAGGCCTCTGTCCATCCATTGTTGGAAGAGACCCTGGCATTTACTGAATCACAGAGCGTGACAGGACGTCTAGCCCACAGGTTTCTGACAGCTCTGCGGAGGCTCAGGGCCTGAGGGCCCAGGGGTGCCTGGGGGGCGCGGTGGCTCTGGGCCCTCCTCCCGCAGCCACGCAGGCAGTTAAGCCAGGCTCCTTATCTGTTCTGTGTAGGAGCTTCTACAAGTGGTCATACTTGGTAAGTAGGTAAGACCCTTTTCCCCAATTAGGTCACATCCGCAGGCCGGGGTGGTTAGGGCATGGACTCGCCTTTCGGGGTGGGGCGCCATGCAACCGACTACCTCTATTAGTATCATGACAATGACTATTATCATTTCTAATATTACTCAGGAGACACCTCCATCCTAGAGAAGGGAAGGGACTTGTTTAATGCCACTCAGCACGCAGGTGGAGAAGCCAGGACTGGGGCGCAGGTCTCCCCACCATGCCAGCGTGCTGGGAACCCTGTCCTGGGAGCGGCCTAGAGGCCTGACGGGGGCCAACCAGAGCAGCCTGGGCTCGGCGATCCGAGACTGTCAGGGGTCAAGGAGTGGGTGACCGTGGTGGCACCGAAGAATGCCACTCTTCCTCACTGGGCACTGCCTCTGCCCAGGCACTGTGCCGCCCGTCACATCACGTGACTGTCTCCCTCGGCCCTCACATGGGTCCTGCGGAAAATGAGGGCACGCCCTGCCCACCAGCCACATCTTACAGATTAGCAGCTGGAGGGTGACTCGGCGAGGCCAGGGACCAGCCCCGGTTAACAGCACACGTTTGTAAGAGTTGGTCGTGAAGCTTGCAACTGAACCCAAGTTCAACCTCACGGCGCTCACTCCAACCCCTGAGCTCCACAGCCATGGAGGGTCCGTCCATCATGCCAGATGGGACATCTGACCCGGGGCGGGAGGGCAGTGGCCCGTGGCAGGACCAGAGCCCGGGTCTCTGCTCCGAAGCTCACACTGGCTCCATTTCCCAGAGCTGTGGTTTAAGCCGGTTCTGACCCCTGTCCCACCTACACAGCCAAGAAGGTGAGCGCCCCCATGTGCGTGGCCAGGGACATGGGTCAAACTGGCTGAGGGATTCGGGAAACCCCAGCCAGTCTTCCATCTGAACAGACGGGCCAGGCCAGAGGCTTCTGTCTCCGACAGGATTTCGGTGTTGGTGTCATCAGGTCCTCCTCTGGGCTGGGGAGCAGGGACACGTGAGAAATCAAATGAGATGAGTATCTTCCTCCTTCTGACAACCCCAAACATCAGTACGATGACATCGCAGTCAGCCTGGGGCCTTTCATGCTCGCTCCCCTCCTCCCAGGTGGCAACTTCAGGGGTGTCGCTGTAACGACTTGACAGGCAGGAGTCTGATGCGTCGGCAGCCGCACTGCCTCGTCTCCTCCAGGCAGGCGGCAATCAGAGAGGAAGACGTACAAATTGCCGGTTCTAAAAGCAGCCGTGGGGCTGGAAGGACAGCTCAGGGAACAGGCAATAATGTCGCAATAACTATGGAAGGTGTCGGACGGGTACTAGACTCATCAGGGGGATCGCTTTTTAATGCATACGGATGTCTAATCGCTATGTTGTACACCTGAAGCAAATATCATATTGTATGTTAACTATAATTGAAAAATAAATTTTAAAAAATGTTAAAGACAGAAATGAACACAGTTCAGGCTGTAGAGGCCCTACCGGACCGCAAGCCAGGACAATGCCTTGAGGGAGCAGGAAGGCTCCAGAGGGAAGTGAGGAGACCCGGGTCTCCCCCAGTGTGGCCTTGGCCAGGCGGTGTGGCCTGTAATCCCCCTTCCCTCTGATCGTCAGACGCAAAGTCTTCCCAGTGCTGACCTTACAATGAAGGACATGGCCCAGCAGGCCGCGGTGGGCTACTCTGAAGACCCAGTGAGCTTTCCCCGCGAAAGCACCGTAGCTCTTGTCATGTTTCATCTCTGCCGATGGATGGAAGTTTCCTGAGAGGAGGGGAATGTCTTACTTATCCAGAGCCCCGTACACATGACGTGTGGAGGGTGGGATCTGTAAAATTCGGCTTCCTGGAAGGCAGTGAGCGGCTCAGTGTGCCGGGGAGGGCGGAGGAGGTGCAGGGATACAGCAGAGAAAGAGCCTGGTAAGAGGCTGTGCCCGAGGCTGACTGGGATGTCCACAGGTAGCTAGTGTATCAAGCCCTGGTGTCAGTATTAGTGGGAGGATGGGCTATGGAAAGAGCCTGGGGCCTACGACCAATGCTTCTTTGAGCCCTGGCTGCCCGTCTCTATAATGGGAATGGTAGCTCCATGTCAGGGTCCTTAGGGTTACCCCAATGTTAAAAGTGGCCAGTACAGTACTTGGTACCTATTTGAACTTCAGCAAATACAACAGCCCCTAAAAACATGCCGAGCAGCACAGACAGACAGCGCTGACCTGGACTGTCAGGGTAGATGATGGCTGTGGAAGTTCAAGGCCAGTGCTGCCCAGGAATGGGAAACTAAGAAATGGGGCCTGGCCGGACTGCACTGGGCACCATCTGAGGGCCAGTCTGGCTGCAGCCATTTGTTGCCAAGTTCCCGCCAACGCTGGCGTGCTCCGGGGATCTGCAAACGCTGGCAGCACCCATGTACCCAACCAGGCGGGTCTCCCACGGCAACACCACCCAGTGCCACACACCACCTGCGAGCTCCCGCAGCCCCTGGCCCACAGAGCCACCGACAGGGGCCACCTCTGGGTGGCTGACACTGGGTGTTCTTCTCTGAAGACCCACTTGCCCCCTAAGGCTGGTGGATGGCAAAACACTGGGGCTTGAAAAGCAGGCAATCTGGGCTCCTGTTTCAGCTTTGATGTTAAACATTCTTTTTTTAAAATTTTTGATTGATTGATTTTGGAGAGAGAGAGGGGGAGAGAGAGAGAGAGAGAGAGAGAGAGAGAGAGAGAGAGAGAGAGAGAGAGAGAGAAACTTTGTTTTTCCACTTATTTCTGCATTCTTTGGTTGATTCTTGCATGTGCTCTGACTGGAGATCAAACCCACAACCTTGTATTGGGATGATGCCCTAACCAACTGAGCCACCGGCCAGGGCCTGCTTTGACTTTCTGTCTCTCTAAGACACTGGGCAAGTCGCTCCCTGCCAATGAAGTGGACTTGGGAACCTGGGACCCTCAGTGTCTGGAACAGCCTTTCAACAAAGTGTACTGAAGATCTTCACCTACGAGAAGCACTGCCCTTCGAGAAAGCGAATTGCTACAAAACCCCACTTAAAGGAACCTGTCCTGCAGAAAGCCCCCATTCTGATCTAACAGGAACACGCTCAAGTCCACGGGTAGCTGGTTCCTAGTTCCCACCCCACCGATTCTTGGCTGTGCAAGAGGAGTCTGAGCCTGTTTCTCCTGTGAGCCTCAGAGGTAATGGTATCTGCTTTACCTCCCAGAAAGCACCGATCTCATTTTACTCAAACGCTATGAGGCTGGCCATCCTCCCCTTCCGTGAGCGGATCCAGATACACGTTCGCCAGGCAGGAGTGGGAGAAAACGGGGGATTTCTATTACTCTTAGTAAGGGGAGCGGTTCGGGGATGACGCGAGGAGGAATGATTGAGAAGGTACCTGCGACAGCTGGCAGCCGGCTTATCTCTATCTCCTCCGCTGAGGACGGTCCCCTGGCCCAGGCAGCACACCCTGGAGACCGCATTGAGATAATAGCACAGCTGCTCCCGGTCCAGGGTCTCTGCTGCCCGGCAAATCACCAGGCACATGATCAGCATTCAGGCCCATTCAGCCTCAAGACTCAAAGGGATTCTGCCTTCCCCAACTCAGAGCTGTAGGGGGTGCATCACACACCCTCACCTGGCCCCAAGCATGAGAAAAAGAAAGGGGGGAGCTCTGGACAGGAAAATGCTGGGGATAAGCTCCCCACAGAAATCAACTACAGAAAATGTACTTTCCCTGTGAGAACCACCGCTAACAAAATCCATATTCCCGGGTTTAGCGTTCAAGTCCATACGAATTGAGAACCATCCTTTATATAAGCTCTCAACTTAAGCCCCATGTGGCTTACTGCAGCTTCGAGTTTCCTTGCCCTGATATGCACACAGACTTATAGCTCCACACACCTCCATTCTTTCTGTCATCCATCAAGGCCAGCAGCAGGCTCACCTTCTCCGTGAAGCCTTCTCTGATATGCTGACACCCCACTTCACATTGACCTCTCCTTCTCCGAACTCTCACAGCACTTTCTATCTGCACTGCTCAGCATTCAGCAGCCGTGGGGCACCTCATCACTTTTGGACTGGACTGTTGCACCAGCCTCCTAACTGGTTTCATCCGGCCCACACTCTGGCCCAGTGCTCTGCAGAAACTACTTCCTAAAGCACAACTCTGATGATGCATCGAGTCTTTGCTGCTGCTCAAAACCCTTCAGGCACTTCCCACCACTTCCGGGATCAAATCCAAACGCCACAGCATGCCCCCACCCCTCCTCTGGGGCTACCCACATCCAGTCACACCAAACTACCCCCGAGGTTATGTAATGAGGTAGCACCAACAGTGGGAGGAGAAACCAGGTCTCCTGATAACAAGAGAAGGGTTCTTCCCACAGTCCCGGGCTCTCCCAGGTCTGATGGACCATGGAGAAGATGGCTAGAAGCATATGGCACGGAACCATGGACAAGGTCAAAACCACAAGACCAGCTAGGTCCTTAGGCTTAATGAGTTTTCAATCTGATGACAACCAGCCAATCCACCAAATAAGCAAATGCAAGAGCAGGCATCGGAAGCTCAGACATAAGAGAGTGCATTTGCTCTTTTCATCGACAGTGAGAAGATTATTATTTGTCCTTTCACATGTGTGGACACTGAGGCTTATATCTGAACTGAAACTCCAGCCAAGACCTTTCTCCTGCACTCTATCTAGCACAGTATATCCAACAGCCCCCTGGCCCTCACTATCTTATACAGTGGGACCTTGACTTACGAGTTTAATTTGTTCCATGACAGAGCTCGTAACTCAAATTACTCGTATGTCAAATCTTAAAGTGAACGAGTGAGACACGTGATGCTGGGCTGATGTTGTGGCATTCACTGTGACATTCGCTGCGCCAACTAGCAGTGGGGTATCTGAAGCTGGCTCATAACCCGAATTTTAGCTCGCAACTCAAAGCAAAAAATCGGCCGAGAGACGACTCATATCTCGAAAAACTCGTTAGTCGGGACACTCGTAAGTCAAGGCCCCACTGTACCACCAAGCACCACACACTCAACATATCTGGTGCTGAGCAACAGCCCTCGGTTCCTGTCCAGGAGACCTTACCGACGAGCTCCCTAGAGATTCTGCTCTGTCCTCCTGCTCCTGCATCCCCTTAAATAGAAAGATTATAGAACGAAATGTTTATTCAACAAAAAAGGGAGAGAGAACATTTCATTCCAACAGCTCTATCCTTATTCAAACAAATGATCAAAAGCCCTTACCAGGCTAAAGCACCCCCATCACACTCCACGCTAATAAATGTGTGTGATTATGAGAGAAGGAGGACTGATGGAAGGACAAGGTCCAGAGGAAGCAAGATGAATATCTGAGCAAAGTCGTCCTGGGTCCAGGTGGCGCCAGCTGGCCAGAGCCGACTATACAGCCCTCCGCCCCGCTTCAGCTTCCGCGAGGTCTGATAAGTAGAAACCAGCCATGGTGGGAGTATTCACACCATGAAATAGGCGAACATTCCTCATCAGGTGTGTTTTGTTTTTGTTTTTTCCCAGGGAATCAGTTCTGTAACATGTACCAGCCCACCACTAAATGGGTCCAGGAGAAGGACCCTGGGTTGGGAAGACAGGACATTTAAATTGTAGCTACAGCTCTGCCTCAGTTGGAGCTGTTGGATAGGCAAGTTTCTTCTCTTTCTGGTCCTCAATTATCTTATGAAAAGGGAGCAAAATCCTGGCTTTCCTTACACATAACTATATGAACTAAGAGAGAGAAGGGCACTTGGGTCCATGTAAAGTCATGAGGGCATATTTGCCAATGTCTGCAGACATGCTGGATTGCCACACTGAATTGTTGGTGCCGCTGGCACCCAGGGATACTGAGACCATCCTACAATGTGTGAGACGGTACCCACAATGAAGACGGAATTTGTCCTAGATGTCTGTGGTGCCAAGGTTGAGAAACCTGATCTAAAGATATTCAACACAGTGGCCGCTTCAAGCTCCCTGAACATATCAGCGTCCAGAAGAAATCGGAAGGGAACTGGTCAGTTGTCAGGAAACCTAGAGGCCAGTGGCAGACCATTGGGGGAATTCCTACAGGTGACAATGCAAGAGTAAGTCAGCTCTTGTCCTACATGGTGCCGGCACACAGTAGGTGCTCAGCCATGGTTTGGGGGAAAAGCAAACAGGTTCAGTGGAAACCATACTGTGCTCTGTCTAGCAGGCCCACACTCCTTGGGGTGCACATTCCCCCAGGCCCCAGATGACAACAAGTAGAAGAATCTTACAAGTGCAATCTCACCTCCTCTGCGAGGAACATGGGAAAAGCGGTGTGACTGACGTTCCTGCCCCGGAGACTCCACTTAGGCAAATAATCACCAGCCCGGCAAGCACAGTGGCAGTGGTCAGAGGAGCGATTTTATTTAAGTCACTTTCTAATATGAGTTGAAACATCTTGAAAGGTGAGGCTTTC